GCTTGATCTTTGAGAATTCCGTAATGAGAGATTCGCCAAGAGACTCAATACTACCGCGAGCGATATAAATTCGATTTGTAATTGCGTATGTTCTTCCCGAAGAAGGGAGGGAGCAGGGAGAGAAATACTCGCGCATACATATCACCTAAAAATGGTATTTATGTAGCGAGCTTTTACGGAATTAATGTTAAGTTGCGATTTTATTTCGGTCAATGTATAACTGGGTCAGCGCGGGCGAGCGCTTCCTAGGCAAATTTGGGATTAAATCTGTTTGTACTGTTACTTTTTAATTAAATTTCTTTTTCTCGCTCTAATAATTCCCTCCTTGCTATTTAAGAACTAAACATCCCCGGCCTTTTCGCAGGGACGCAAAGCGAGCATCACGCCGCGAATTTAATTTTCAGAACGCGCTTTTTCCGTAATAAAGTAACTTTCGGCACCCTCTAAGCGTACATCCGTTTTTGTTATTTCAAGAATTGAAATTATTATTACGAGCTGCCTATTTGCGCAATTTTTGAGTCATTCTAGATTTTATTCATATTACACGACGTATTCGTGTAATATGATATATATATATTTTTTAAATTTACACATACGACAATTTTACATTTTACAAGGCCAAGAATGGAATTTTTTGCAGTTTATAGTCCACCTCTCACGCGTACGCGCATCTCAAACGCAATCTCGTAAGGACGAGCGCTAGTAATTCGTATGCGCAATTTATATTCGTTCAATTTTAATTTCTCGATGTGATCGCGTCTCCATTGATTAGAGCTCAAGCAGCCAAATGGCGTAAACAAACGTGCTCTGTGCCGGACACTTTGGGGCGATAATGGGCGCGTTGTTGTACGAAATGGGCATTACATTAGGCGGTCTGATTTTCAGTTTAATGGAGTTCCGGAAGCGTGAAGTTTAATGGAAACGGTGGGGTCGCGAGCGCAGTTGCGAGCAACTCGCCTTCTCGATGGGGCTGGAACTGGCTCTTGATAGCCGCTCGTGAAAACGCGCTACGAGAGAAATAGAGTGTGATGCGTATTATGTTGATCAGTACGCAAATTTATCTCGAATACCGGCGAAAAGCGACCAACAACGAGTATCTCGAGTGGAACGCGAAATCGTCGAAACGTGATTCCTATAACCGGCTCGAAATTTTAGTCCTACTTGAGATCTAAACTTTCTAACATCTGTAGACGCTGAGGGATCAGCCTAATATACAACACACAGAAACTGAAATCCTACTTAGGGCCGATTGTTCCAACTTCTTGATTAAACTACTTGACAGTTAAATCATATGTCTGTTTTTGTTTTTTCTTCAAGTTAGATAGAACAAATTGAATTGGAACAATTGGTCTTTTAATATCTCTGAATGACCAAAAATGCACAAAATTCCGCTTGCCTCGAAAACATTGTTTTTGTATTCGAAACTAAAGTATTTGGTATGTAAATTTCTGACGTTCACGTTGATAACTGAATCATATTGAATCAAAAGAATAACAAGTGAGTGAGTGGGAGATCGATATTTCGAAAGAATTGCGGTGTCGTGGTTCACTTTTTCTTCTCTTCTCTTTCTATCCTATCTACTCATTTACACGAAATAATTGACAAATCTGTCGGGAAGTTATTGGCAGGCGTGAATTACATAAACATAAACGAGAGAAGATCGAGGGAAGAAGGGAAGGACGGTGAGAAAATGACGAGGATACGCGCTGCGAGAGGGTACATCGGATTAGCGACAAAAGTTTGGTAATTAAGTGGTAAGTGAGGTCGAGTTAAGAGAGAGAGAGAGAGAGAGAGAGAGAGAGGCAGGAGCGGGTGGATGAGTGAAGGAATTTAGTAGGCGAATCGTCCCTTTGCCCTATGCGAAAGCGGAAGCGAAGGTGACACGAGTCAAAGAAAGGTCGGAGGCAAAGAGACGGATGATGAGGAACAGGCGGGAGAAGGGGGATGGGAGGACACGGGATGGACCGTAGGCAGGGATAATTAGCGAGTTAATACGACTCGTTGCCCCTCGAACTCTCTCTTCATTACCGCGAGTGCCGTCCTGCTGTCGGGAGAATCTTGAGAGAGACGCGCGCGTCGGCCAAATCGATCGGTCGATTAAAATATTCACGTCCTGACGATTCTGCGACTTGCGACTGTTATTGGCACAGCGCGATAGTTATTTACAAACGTTATCTGAAAAACTGTGCCGTTGGAATTGCACTGATTAGCTGGGATTTTAAGTTCTGAAGGGGCAAATTATGTTTTCAGACTAGAAAAGGCAAAAGTATTCGGGAACTCATTTAAAGAAAACTATCAAACGAATATGTTTGAATTTTATATGCATAATTAATATTTGCATAAAAATAATTTATAGTTTTTTTTGCGGAAGTGACGTCACAGCATCCACTGTTTGTAGTTCTTGCATGTCTCCTTGACTTGAGTGATTTAAATTCGTACAATAGTTCTATCAAAAAAATGAAAAAAATTTTTTAGTATTGTAAGTATAGAATTTTTATTTTTAAATATAATATAGTGTTGTAGATATAGAATTATGCCCAAAGTCTCGTCCCAAAGTAAATGGATAATCCCGCACGACTACATGGTTATCCATGCGGATGAGACAAAGGACATAATTAGAATCAAACTTTACAAGTAAGTTCGTTTAATCCAATAATTTTTATTTTCAAATATAATTGAATTTTGTGGCTCATATTTCCAAAAATCAATAAAAATTTGTTATTAAAATTCACTTCTCCGTTTTATTTTATAAGATCCAGTAAAACAAAAAGTTATAACAAAAATAGAATTAAAAATTAAAAAATTAAAAATAAAATTAAATAAAGGAATAAAAATATTCTACCAAAAAAATAATAAAGTATAAAACTTGGACATATTCACTTAGTAGTTTTGTTTAAATAAATTCCTGAACACATCGTTGCTTTTTTGGCTTGAAAAAGTAATTTTCTCCTTTACTGACAACGCTGTCTGACGCGCAAGATTACCAAGACTTTCCGTGTTCTCACGCCGACATACGACAGCTGCCGGGTTAATCCTTCCCCTTTGGCAGACCCAACAAAATCAAAAGAAAAATATTTTTGAGTTTAAATGAAGTAAATGATGTCTCCTGAATGCAGTTATATTGTTTTTTGTCAAAATAATATCGCAAAAACATATTTTTAAAACGACTTTTGTCATTTAGTGGCAAAACTCGAAACAACTGAAACAATAACGAACAGGATAATTATTAGATGTTGCTCCAAAGCGACAGTGCTAAATAAATGCATGTTCTTGCATACGGCTCGTGAGAAATCGATTGCTTGAGAGCAACATTACCAAATAAAAAGTTGAAATAATACGGACTTCGTTCGAAATGATTTTTACCGTAACGTTAATGTCGAACGTGCTATTGGACCAAAGAACTGGGTTAAAGATATCAGTTTGACAATGAGCTGGGAGACACTGACGAGGTAGCTTCAGTGTTTGTGGGGACAGAAGATGCAGAGCGAAGCTGTTCGCGTAGCTTCGGAGAACAAATATTTACGTTGAGCCCGGTGGCTCACCCTTCTTGAGCGCCAGAAACGTATTTAATGCCGGCGATGAGGAAAGCGGTGGCGGACTGACAAGGGCGAGAAACAACCGTGCGATCTCATCTCACCAGGCGAATCCCACCTGTCGCGAGATATCAAGGAGCGCGACGTTGATACACATTTTCAAACGAGTATATGCGTTATCGACTCGTTCGTGCCGTTTTATGAAGATGACCGTAGACGCGTAATTTCCAACATAAAATTTCACGTTGGACACAAAGCGCCGTGTCTGCCCTCGCATTATCGGATCCGTATTATCGAGAGTCACCTCTCGTATAAGAAGAATTAAAAGATTGGTTAAACAGCGAGTACAATTAATCAGCTTTACGCTGAAACCTGATAATGTCGGGACATTTATTACGCGGGATATCAATACCGGGGAAATAAATTAATGCGAAACGCTATTATCGGGGCGCGGATGTTCTTTTAATGGTCGCGCGCGCGCCGCGGTTATTTTACAACGTGCGGAGAGAAGCCACTGCGAAATCGAGACGGTTAAATGAATAAAAGAGCGCGATAATATCCAGCTATCAATAAGTACGTACTGTAATATATAAATTGTATTTTTGAAATATATTTATGAAAAAAAGAGAGACAAAGAGACGCTTGTGAAGGCATCACCTCGCGTAAAATGCACTTGTTCCATTTTTATGACTTTACAAAGGGGAAAAATTTTCAATTTTATCTCATGTTAAAATAATTACGTGTAAAAAAGAGAGAGATATATATCTATCGATATTATATATCGATTTATAAAACAATTCTCATTTCAACGATTTAAATTTATTTCACATACGCGAACGATTAAATAGGAGAGACCGAGTCTAGATGACCCGCGGGGCATGTTGCTCATATGCTTTCTTTAATAATTATCTTGACAGAAACAGTGGATGTAAAATTGCGAAATTGTTCTTTTAAAATATACTCTTCTCTGAGTTTCATTAAAATTGGGGTAATATTACAGTTAGAGAATCGGAAAAACTGATTTAATAGTAACGCAAAGTTGACTAAGAAAGAAATATTTAAAAATTAACCAATATTTATTAGTGAATACTATTAACATATTTACTTAAATAAAAATTCTCTTCATTTAAACCGAGTATTGTTTACTTAAATGGAGTAAACAATACTCAGTTTATAAATGAAGAGAATTTTGATTCAAGTAAATATGTGTTAATGATATTAATAATAAATATTTGTTAATTTTTAGATATTTTTACTCAGTGTATTTTCGAGTCTTTCGCGATGGTGGACATTAACGCATAAAAGAAGGCTGCCTCTATCACGTTTGTGCAATCAGTCACAAGAATCAATTGCTTGAGAAGTGACTTCAAAATTCTAAGACATGAGACATCTAGCCCCGGTCACCCCTAATGCGCGCGAATGAAGACTCGCCCCGCGCCAGTATTGCAGGACGGTGCGAATACGTACCTTGGTGAATGTGAGGGTAGCTATCGGCGGTAGACGAGGTAAATTCGGATAATAGAAGCTTCCCGCGGGATGCGCCGGATATCGGGATGTGATCCTGTAAGCGATTCCTTGGGGCTGCGTCGGCCAGTTGGCAGCCGTGAATGTGAAGCCGTTATCCGTGCCCCCATCCAGCGGGTCGAGCTGTTGAAAAAGGAATGGCGATGGGTGGGTTTAAACGACGGCGTTTTCCGTGCATTTGCGGATTTTAGCAAGATGACAGAAGCCGAGTACACGGGCGCGCTCTCGCGCGATTCACGGGGATAAATGCATAAATTATATCTCACGGCCGGGGCGATGCTCGTGCGATTGCCGCGATTGTTGGAGATGCACTTGATTTCAATAACCTTGCTTTCATGAATAAATCGTGGAATAATCTTTTTCAAGAATAATCGGACGAATTCGTATTCATTTTAATTATTCCAACGTGGAATATGCAATTCCGTAGCGTCGCTTTGTGCAGATTATCTTACAATTGTACAGGTTGCCGGTACTCACGTGTGTAACTCGAAAATGAAGATTCTTTTCAGTCGAAGAACGTAACTACCTGGCTAATCAGAACTGATCGCAAGATGTTGGCTGTTAAATTTTAAATGTTTGACAATACAAATGCATGCCATGCGCTTTGGTAAAAAAACGTACATCTTACATATCTCTCCTATAAAAAATTGACTTTTTCTAACAATTTCTTTACCTCTATTACTCTTAATCCTTATTTACCGTCAAAACAGAACAATGTTTTGTACTTGTTAATCCTTTAAGCGGTATGTCCGAAAAAATTGCGTGGTAAAATATTACATTCTATTTATTTAAAGTATTGTATATTTTATAATTCATAGCAAATACAAGCGAAAATCATATATATATATATATATATATATATATATATATATATTCTATTTCTCAGAAATTTTTAAAGAAAATAGCAATAAAGGAAAAGAAATCTAAATATGCTCATCAAAAAAGAAGAAAAATTGCGTCACCATTGAAGACGTTAATATTCGTGTTGCGAAAAATATTGCATATCTACACTGTCAAAGTTTAAAATTTGGCAACTCACATTTTGCAGTTGGTTCTAATTGACTAGGCACTTGCGTTCTTTAGTTTGATTCATGCGAGGCGTTTGCTAATAAGATCAATTTTTTTTATCTCTTAACACCGTTAATATTTCAAGGTTAATTCGAGTTACGAATTACATGCGCCAACGTGTAATAATTAAAATCCGGTAACACGAGATAACTTTGTTCCAGCAATTTCGTCGAAAAAAAAAATGAAAAATAAAAACGAAAAATAGTATCATATCGTGTCGCACCGAGACAATAACGCACGAAATGTAGGCGCAGTCAATCCGTTCGTGTACGTTTTAATTCTCGCTTTTCACGATAGAGAGAAAGGGATTTCGGTCGCAGTAACGTTATCAGTCTCACGCGCATTGTTGTCAAACGTAATTACCTCCACGGTAACGGTATCGACCCAATTGCCCTCGACGCACAGTTGGAAGGAATCCACGCCTACGAACCAATCGGGGCTGGGATTGATGCGCGCCATAATGCTTATCAGAGTATGATTGCCGTCCAAAAAGGCCCGGGTGACGCTCGTACCCTCGCCCTGAGGTATCGGCGGGCCCGTGAAAGAGTGCAGGCTATTGGGCGAGTCGCCGTCCGTGTCGAGTCCATCGGCTCTGCCGGTCTCCACGTATAATCTGGCGCCGGTAGACAGTCGCTCGCCTAATCTATACAGAATGTAAGTCGAGTCGTGCGTCCGACCTGCAACATGCAATAAACGCGATCGGTTACACTCATGGGCTTGCACTCGTGTCCTGCAATTCGCACAGGGATACATTCAGAAAAACAATCTATCCTGTATAACCTCAAGAGGAGTTCTTTTCAAACCAAAAGAAAAATATTCAAAACCCAGTATTCTAAGCGCAGTATTCTTAAAGTTAGAGAAATCTCGTCATTTATCTATAAATGCAAATCTTATTCTTAATAGAAATCCTTTCCAGTAAGAGAGGACTCTGCTTCAAGTAAACACGTTTCTCTTGATTCAAAAGGGAAAGTTGGAATAATATTTAGTACCCTTCAACAGAATACAAATAGTACTCCTCAAATTTCTCTGAGTGAAGTTTCACTCGGAAAGTGATCACCGAGTCACTCGAATTCAAAGGTTTTTGCACTCATATAGAGTGAGTTCTCTATCTTAAATCATCGAGTGAATATTTCTGAAGAGTGAATCTATGACGTACTTCACCGTTACAAGAACATACTTACCTCTAATCGACTGAAACATCCTCTCTCTCTCATATGAGATCGGAATTCATCATAAGCTCCAGTGAAATATTCGCTCTTGCGATCTCGAGAGACAGTATTTTCTTTACTAGTGAAAATACTGCCAATTTTAAATTGGGTTCTGATTCCCTATGTTCTAATCGATTAGAATGAATTTGTTTCTATGACGGTGAAATACATACACTAAATTCATTCTTCAGTTTCGAGTGAAAATATTCACTTGACGATTCAGAGTAGAGAAATCACGAATATACGAGTGGAAAATCGCTCAAACGCGAATGACTCGGTGGTCATTTTATTTTTCAAGCGAAACTTTACTCCGAGAAGTTTAGAGAACATGTTTTTGCGATCACCATTCGCTCCTGAAGTCGATTTCGCATTTCTCCGGATTCCAAACTAGCGCAAGTTCCGAGCTAACTTTCAAGTGGCGAGAGTCATGTGTGTGACGAAAGCTCGTCCATGTCTGAGGCAAAAGTCCCCACCTGAGATAGAATCTCAAAAGGTTAATTTAGAATTAATTAACCCAGAAGAGTAATTGGAACTTAAACCTGTTTACCCGGCTCGGGAGGTGCGTCTTTCGCGCGAGCTCTCAAAGATTCTCCGGCTTTCAACGTCTAATTACGTGGTTGTTTTGCCGATGCCGCGGTTGAAAATGCCGCGGTGCCTCAGGCTAAAAAGGGGAGATTTGAGGGGGAGGAGAACGAACGTGTACGACGAGAAGGGAGAGCTGCACGTGTGGAGCGCACAATACCGGCCGCGATCGCCTCCGGAGCGACGTTGGTTTTTCAGAGGCGCGGAGCGGCCGTTTATTCCGGCTGTCGATCGATCGTTAAATCGTGCGTGACGATGAATACCGTGCTGGGGTGAAACCGACGAGACACGGGGGCGAGGCGCGTCGGAGAAGATCGTCCGAGGGATTTTTCAGGATTGCGTTATAGACGAACACGGTGTCGCGCGGGATCAGTGTGTCACGTTCATGTGTGTGTGTGTGTGCGTGTGCGAGTGAGCGAGCGAGTGGGTGGGTGGCACATTATTTCCGGAGTGGCGGACAACGAGTCTCGAGCGGTGCATTAATTGACTATAAATTCAGTACTCTCGGCATTAATTCGGCTATCTCGAGAGCGGCTTCCGTCGTCCGCGGCTGCTCGCGACTACAAAAGGACCGAGTCGCCGTTAACGAACGCCTTAAACGCGCGCTATTTAGCGCGGCCCCACAACGAAAGCCGGACGACGACGACGACGACGACGGTGGCGGCAGCGGCGGCGAGATGTTTTCCGAGATCGGGCTATTCCGAAAGAGTAATTGATCGTTAAACGCATTTGCATCGCGACACAGTCGCTGTTTCACCGCTCGGGTAACGATTACGCAATGCCGCTGTAATCGTCTCGTTTTGTAACACGAGAAACAAGAGCCGTCACCCCGAGCGAGATTCGAGCCCGAATGAAATATTCATGTAAAATACATGTAATGTATAATGTCGGATCTCGGAATATGATTTCGTTAAACGGCAGCGTCGCGGTTGTTATCGCGAAAATTTATCCGCCGGCAATCGGAACATTTTAAATACCGCGGAAAATTCGCGTATACCTAAATCATAAGCGTTTCGGTGTCGGTCATACACCGTGTGTGTGTATGTATGTGTGGTTTTCACCATTATTTTAATGTATCACGCAGTAAATATTTTGCAGATAACGTGTGTATATTTCAGCCGCGAAAAACCGTGCGCTTTTCAAGTTTTACGCGACGCAAAAACCGAAATATCTACCAAAAAGGGAACTCTAGCTGTAAGGTGCTATTTCCTGCAAATCCATATTCCAAACGAAAGCTTTTATCGAAAGAATATTCCCGTTCTAATGGAATGGATTATTAATCGGCAGTCTACTCTCTAAATTCCTTGGAATGCAATCTCATGCAAAGCGAGTGAAAAGTGGCAATATTTTCACTCAAACTAATAAGGAAAATACTGTCGTTCGCAGGAATATTTCATTCAAGTTTCGAGTGCATTCTAACTCCATATGAATGTTTCGGTCGATTAGAGTGAATATGTTCCTATGACGATGAAATGACAGATTTACTTTTTAATTTCCATTAAAAATATTTACTTGACGATTCAAGATATTGTTCTCTATTATTCTGTACGAATGAAAAATCATTCGAACTCGAATGACTCGATAATCATTTCGCGTTTTAAGTGAAATTTTATTCCAAGAACTTTAGAAAGTACTTTCTAAATTGGGTATTTCACTTAAAACGAATAACAAGTAGTAAATTCTCTACTCTGAAATCATTGAATGAATTTTACTATGAAAAAATATTTTCACTCGAAATTGAAGAATAAATCTGCTTTACTCTAATCGATTGAAACATTCACTCAAACGATTCACTTATATGGAGTCAAAATCCATTTTGATCTAAAACATTCACTCTTGCGATTTTAAATGATTATATTTTCATTTCTATTGTCGAATATTTTTCGCTCGTTTTGAGTGACTCCACTACGAGAAATTGTGGAGAATGTCATTCTGATTCCGCTTTTTTTTATCTGAGCGTCACATGTAACTTTATTTCAGTCTAAAAATCGGAGGAGGGGCGTTTCAGTTTGTTAGCGCTCGCGATGCATCCAGAATTGCGATCCCAGGACTTGTAGAAGTAATGATTCCGAAGTGCGCGTTTGTGCGCAAGTCTCCCGTAAGATTCAGCGCGCAACTGTATTTTTAACGCGCGTCGCGGTTTCCCGTCCGATTCCCGTGAACAAATCCGAAACGTAGCTTTCAAAGGGATCGAGATAGTTCCCGTGCCGGTAGTGCGCACCGCAGCGGTCCGCTCGAGTTCAGAGGCGTAATTAGTTAGGAAATTAGTGGAAACCACGAGGGATATGGACTGCGTGCGTCGGCAGACTTTACGCAAAGTCCGCACCGAGCGTTGTTTCGTCGCGCAAAGTTGAGATTCTCAACCGAACGCGTGTTCCGTGCTCTTCTCTCGTAAGAATCGAAGAGCGAAAAGAAGAGAGGAAAGAAGAGAAAAGAGGAATGAGGGGAAAGATTGAGAGCTCGAGGGAGGAAAAGAAAATCCGCGTATTCATTGCTTACGAAACTCGCGGCGGAAAATTTATTCCATTCCCCTTGCGTTATGACAATTCGACTTTGGCGCCGCGCAAGTCGGGAGTTACGCCGCGGCCGGGGGAACAAAATATTCTTTCGTCGGATTCGCCGTGTGCACTCTTCATTTGTAGTTAAATCTCAGTTAATCCGTCTTTGTAGCGCGCACCGCCGAGCTAATCCGGCAAACTCGGCCAAAATATTACATCGCCTCGCTCGCGAAAGTCAAGCTGAAAAAGCCATTAGGGTCGACTCGCGCGGCTTAAATTGGCCTCGTTAATTAGATTAATTAATATCGAGCCGCGCTGCGCTACCGCAGCCGCTCCAATCTGATCCCTGTCTGTCTTGCGGCGTCTTTCCGTCCGTCTTCTTCCCCCTTCGCTCTCTGTCCCGTCCTCCCCCTTCTGCTCCTCTTCCTCCTCCCTCCAATCTACCCCTCGGCCAGACGGAATTTATGAATGAATATTATCCCACGGCCCTTTGAAGCTCCATCTGTCTCTAACCGTTCGGTAATTTCATCAGGAGTTAAATAGACGTTGATTCCATCCCGCAAATTACATTCGCAAACAGTGGCGTTTTATTAATTCCGCTCGTTACCGGCGAAGTTGCCACTTTTCAGCGAGCGTCTCGTTCTCCGCGTGACCCTGTGTATTAATGACCACTATTCAGCAAGGGAAGATCTCCAAAAGTATCTCGCTTGATGTATTTCGCGGTGTGTGGGTAGCGAAAACAAAAATAACCTCCCGCGGATAAAAGAGAGAAAAACGGGGCTAGATAAAAAATTTCGGATTCCGTCGATTTCGGGGGCAAGACTTGAAACAGGTCGCCCGGTCAGACGTTGACTTCAATTTCGATTTATCTATTTTTCTCAGCGCGCGCATAGAGAGAGAGAGAGAGAGAGAGAGAGAGAGAGAGAGAGAGAGAGAGAGAGAGAGAGAGACACCCATATACACAGGCACACACACACACACACACATATGCAAGTAGCGAAAAATAAATCCAACGTCTACGCCGAGCGATTCGCGGTTGAAATCAATAAATTCTATTTTCGTGATCGACCGAATGTTTTATAAATCTCGTTGACGGTTCTCTCCGCACACGCAAGTTCACCGCGGTCCGAAATGCTTTTGTCGAAAAATGTTTTTCTTCGGCAGTCCTCCGATGAAAATTCGACCGTTGGTGGGGATATTTTGTAGAAACATAAATGGCATATTTCTGTCGTCAATGCAAATATGCTGGTTCGCACGAGTGTTTTCTCGTGCTGAAATAAATAAGAAATTCGGTCGATCAACTTGCCGGCTATAAAGCTGCAGATCTATACGCATGCGCGTGTCTCTCTCTGTGTGTGTGTGTGTGTGTGTGTGTGTGTGTGTGTGTGTGTGTGTGTGTGTGTGTGTATTATTCGCTTGATTCTTTTTTTTGTATTCGACGATCTCACCGGCACACACATACGTATACGCACTCACACCC